GGACGGGGGAACCAGGGATGCAGTCTGCAGAGGCAAGCAAAGGCAGGAGGGCACCCTGGGGGTCGGAGGTCCAAGGAGAAAACCAGCCCAGGAGGGATGTCAGTGGCATTGCTCTTTACTATTGTGTCAGATCCCGGTGTTTCTGTGGCTCTGCGGGAACCGCATGTGTGAAATAGCTTCCCGGGGTCCCAGAGGGTGAGGCCACTACAGTTTCCTTGCTATTACTGCGTTTTTAAGAATGAGTGTGTGTGACTTTGTTTAGGGTAGGGGTGGATTCTCACACCATCGCTGAGCGGTGATTAGCTCTCTTCCCTCTTTGCTGAGTTCTCTAAGGCAGCACAGCTCAGCAGTTGACGACGCTGGTGGGTGAGCAGTTATTCACGTGTGGTTTCTCCTTAATGTGTTACCTGCCTACAGAGAAACTTCAGAAACGGGGTCTTTCTGTACTGTACCAGGGGAGAGACCCCAGCTCGAGGCGTCCTTCTCTGAGCACTGAGCTGCAATGACAACTTGCTCACCTTGTCCTGCGTTCAGTTCGATGGAGTCTCTCCTGGGCGGAAGTGGGCCACATCTAACATCACATTTATTTCATATTTCTTCTGCCCCAGGCCTTTGAAAAATAGCGAGTTTCCTCGGGAAATCCTTATTACATTCATTCCCACTGAGATTACAGAGAGATCATTGCTTAAAGAACTGCTGCCAGCTTCACTGCTGTGTGTTCATTTTCATAGGAATCACAAATGAGGGTGTCTTGAGAGGCCAGCCAGCTAACATAATTGAAAGCATTATTTCTAGAAAGACCCATTTTCTGTAAACAAGAAATACTTAGGAAAAGTTCTGTCTTTCTCAAAGATGTCAAATTACAGTTTTCATCAAATTAAAACCATGACTTGCATCCAAATATAGAATGAACACAGATTAAAGATTTATAAAGTCATTGGTGAGGGAACCAGCAAGTTGGTGAAGCTGATTCAAAGACCACTTGAAGAACACAGAGCACATCAGGAAAACATGCTACGGGAACTGTCCTTTGTTAGAGACAAAACTGGTTAATACCTTAGAGGGCAATAAAATTATGACTTTTGGAGTTAGAGATCATTTTTATCTCTACTGGACAAAAATCTACAAAGCAACATGTTTGTGGTCCTAATCATTAGTAAAGAACGAGTCTGGTATTACTCATATGTGGAATCTAAAAGAAAAAAAAAGACACAAATGAACTCATCTACAAAACAGAAATAGACTCACAGACGTAGAGAGCAAACTTATGGTTGCCAGAGGGGAAGGGAGTGGGAAGGGATAAACTGGGAGTTTGGGATTTGCAGATGCACACTACTATACATAAAACAGATAAACAACAAATTTCTACTGTAGAGCACAGGGAACTATATTCAATATCTTGTAGTCACCTAGAATGAAAAAATAATATAAAAAATGAACACATGTATGTATATGTATGACTGAAACATTATGCTGTACACCAGAAATTGACACAACGCTGTAAACCGACTATACTTCAATAAAATATATTTATGTAATTATCGTCAGTAATAAAAAGAGCAAGTCAAATAAAGATAACTCCTTTAAAGAAATGATCCCCTAGATAATTACCTTTTAGAGAATTAAGTGTTGGATGGGCCTGTTAACCAAGGCTTTCGTTCGACCTTGAATGTGTACCAGTCACTCTTTCGCCTTATTCCCAAGTTTCAGATAACTTACTCAACAAGGGAACATGCTGTGTTCTATTTTTTTTTAACCACACAACCACCTGGTTTTCTTAGCTGTCCCAGTTTTGATAGATATAAAAGTAAAATAAATAGTTGCTTTCCTTTTAATTCTACTACAAAATTACAAAAACACAGAGCATATCCAGGTCCCATTTTTTTGTTTGTTAGTTTTGTCATCCCTGGTGAATGAATAGGGTAGCAGATGCTCGACCTCAGTGCCTGATGGTCATGTGGTGATCTAGAGGTGATGGGAGCAGGAACTGGAGGTCCAAGTTCAGCCTTAACAGGGAAACGTATTTGTAGGAATGTGAGCCCAGTGCTGCCAGGTCTTCTGATTTTCCCAGCGAGCCCAGAAATCCAGACTTTTCTGATAAATCTCTTGAGTTTTACATGTTGGAAAATTCATTTGAGAAGTTAAAAACACTGTCTGGGTCAACAGTTTGCG